AAATCTTCACCCAAATCACAATAAAAAAGAGAGAGAGAGAGAGAGAGAGAGAGAGAAGTAGATTGCTCCATCTTCCTTCCATGGAGCACCTGGTGGGTTTGAACCACCAATCTTCTGGTTAGCAGTTAAATGCCTTAGACACTGCACCACCAGAACACCTTTCCTATTGACTAGGGGGTTATAAATGAAAGATAAATACTTCAAGACAGGTAGGAAAAATGATAATACCATGAAGTATGTTAATAGCTAAATAATTAGGCATATCCAAAGTAACTGCCCCACAAGACTTCATGTTTCCTTCAAACTCACACACAACAGGAGGGGTGGAGGAGCCTTCTAGATAAGGTGTGTAAGTAACAGGACCTACAAGCACCTGAAAGCAATGCCATATGTTAGTGTAGGATCAGAAATCTGCAAAGATTGTCTTAACAATCTTTTTATTTCATTTTCTTAGTTTTAAAAAAGTGACTTTTCAGCACCTCCCCCAGCCAACTGAGTTCAGACCCATGAGTGAACCCAGCTGAGACCAGGCAAATGCAGCCTAGACCAGAAGAACTGCCCAGAAGAATCATAAGTTCAATAAATACACATCTTTCTCTTTGTTCTCTCTCTCTCTCTCTTTCTTTTCTTTTTTTTTTTTTTTTTTTTTTTTTTTTTTTTTTTTTTTTTGTTGTTGTTGTTGTTGTTTTATGCCATGAAATTTTGGGGATAGTTTCTTACACAGCAAAAATAAACTGATACATGGAATAAAAGAGTAAAGTTAGATTAGATGATTAGGTACAGCCTCACTGAAAAGGGGACATATAAGCTGAAAAGACTTAAAAGACATCAAGGAGATGACAGTGCTAAGAGAGGGTAGACCATTCAAGGCATAGAGAACAGCAAGTGCAAAGGTTGTGAGATAGGAAAGGGCCTGGTGTTTTGAGGGAATTGGAAGAAGATGAAGAAGAAATGTGGCCAGAACTGAATCAGGGAGAAAGGAGATTAAAGAGATAGGGAAAAAAATCTATTCATACTCTGGCTCATAAAAAACAGAGTCATAAGAATATGTTGTTTATTAATATTCTTCATTAACAGAGTCTTATTCAAGAATATATTCTCAATATATTCATAGCATTCTTATTATATATTATCAACAGAATATGTTAACTAAAATTATTCATATTATTTATATTAAAAATTGACATTTTAATATATAAGCTCATTTCATCTGTCCTTTAAAAAAAAATAGGGGAAATACAGATAAGTATTTTTTCCTAGTTTGTATATTGAGACCCACAGAGAGCCATAGTAGTGGAAATGGGAATAAATAAAAGCCCTAAGGGAGAATAGGGAGCTCTGGTAGCATAGTGGCTAAGGCACTTGACTGCTAACCAGAAGGCAGGC